TTTATGGCTTAATTCTTTAAATGTGGTTGAATATGTAGAGCACTGGATGACCAAAGAAATTGTTTTGTTGCTAGACACTTTATGAACTGACCCATCCTAGATATCTTCAAAAAGGAGAACAAACCATAGTTAATTAAGCTGATATAGATACTGGCCTTTATCCAAGCCATCACAGAGCACAGATTTTAGGACATGAATATCGTACCTTATTTTGTATAAAAATGGAATAATGAACCTTATCTGCAGTTTGCAATTTATCATCTATTACTAAACACTTGATTTAAACTGTCATGATCTTGAGAATTGATTTGGACTATAAATATGAGCATGAGCTATGTTATCTGTGGGGTCCTTCCTTATAAAAACAACAAGCAAATACAAAGAATTGTTGTCCCCCACTTTCGGTGTCTTAGTGCATGGGATGCCATTATTTATGGCATATTGTAACTGTCTTGTTTGTGTGCCTTGTCTTGTCCGTGCATCATACAACAAAGACATAAATTATTGAATTATTAACAGTTACGGCAAAGATTATAGATTCTCAAAACTACATCAATTTTCAAAATCAAGGTCATGAGGTCAAATATCATAATAAAATCCGAATTGTCTTGTCACAAGTAATGCACATGTGAAAAAAATAACAAAAACCAAAGTATAAAATAGAAAGGTCTTGAAACAGGTAATGCACATGTCATATGTAAATGCCATATCTTCTCTCAATCAAAAGTTATTGGCAATGTTAAAATTTTTGAAAATTAGGTCAAACTTCAAGGTCACGGGATTATTTGAAAATGCTTGTCACAGGTAATGCATGTGTCAAATATGAATGACCTATCTTCGCTCCTTCAAAATTTAGCAACACTGATGAAATGTTTGAAAATTAGGTCAAAGTTGAAGGTCAAGGTCATGGGGTCAAATATCATAGCACATTCGGAAACATTTTGACACAGGTCATGTACTTGTCAAATATGAATGCCATATCATGTCATTCAAAAGTAATCACCGAAGTTAATATTTTTGAAATTAGGTCAAACATGAAGGTCAAGGGTAAAAAATATTAGCATGCTCGGAAACACCTTGTCACTGGTAATGCACATGTCAAATATGAAAGCCCTATCTATTCTCAATCGAAAGTTATAAGCAAAGATAAAAATTTTGAAAAATAGGTCAAACTTGAAGGTCAAGGTCATGGGGTCAAAGCCATAGTATATTTGGAAAGGTCTTGTCACTGGAAATGTACTTGATATAAATTTCATATTTAATATGAAAGCCCCATCTTTTCTCATTCAAAAAAGCAATTTCATGTTAAAATTTTTGAAAAGTAGGTCAAACTTTCAGGTCAAGGGGTAAAAAATCATTGTATATTTGAAAAGGTCTTGTCACAGGTTATGTACATGTGAAATATGAAAGCCCTTTCTATTCTCATTCAAAAGTTATGACCACGGTTAAAGTTTTTATGACAGACAGACTGACAGATGAATGAGATTTAATGTTCCCTTGCCTTCACGAAAGCAGGGAACAATAATAATCCTAGCTGGATAGTGGAGGTACTTTTTAAGTCACATCAATGGGAAAGTCTTACTACTGGTATACAAATTCCAAACTGTTCTTGGCATGATTTTGTAAGAAGATTCACTTAACTAACGATATTAACACAATCCAAGTTTAACTGTTAAAAAAAAATCACTGAATATCTTACCTTTTATGGTTAATTTTATTGTGGCAAAGATTTTAAAATGACTTCTTAACAGGAAAGGAGTAAATGTATGGCTGGACTGGGAATCGAACCAGGACCCCTGCATCAATATAGTCAGGCACTCTACTGACTGAGCTATCCAGGCCCAATATCCAGGGCCCAAACCCATTACAGTCAAACCTTATTATCTCGAACTTGACGGGATGGAGAAAATACTTCGAGATAACCGAGGATTCGAGATATCCAGGATAAAATAGTTGAGGAATAAGTAATTGGGACTTCAAAATGACTTCGACATACATGTATCCATGGTATTCGAGACATCCGTGTTCAAGATACCGAAGTTCAACTGTACATTCCTCACTCCTTAAATTGTCTTCATCCTCGAAGACACAACCCAAGTTCTTATTTGCCCCTGACAGGACTTTCACCTGCAAGTCCAGGGGTGGTCAACAGCACCAAATTATGCAACAGGAAAGGAGAAAATGCATGGCTGGATTGGGAATTGAAATCGAGACCCCTGTATACACTGTAGAGAGGTAATATATACATGTAGGTCATAGAACGTGTATGTACACTATAGAGAGGTAATATATACATGTAGGTCATAGTACATGTATGTACACTGTAAAGAGGTAATATATACATGCAGGTCATAGTACATGTATGTACACTGTAGAGAGGTAATATATACATGTAGGTCATAGTACATGTATGTACACTGTAGAGAAGTAATATATACATGTAGGTCATAGTACATGTACATGTATACACTGTAGAAAGGTGTATCACTAGTTAGGCGCTCTTCCAACTGAACTGTCCAGGCCGATGTCCACAGCCCAAACCATTATGGACTAACAAGTCAGTGAATACATAAACACTTTCCCCCAAATCAATGCATCCAGTTGGAGACATAAACTTGATATTTCCTCTCTATTGTATATAGTATGACATATATATCACCTCTCTATTGTGTATAGCATGACATATATATTTCCTCTCTATTGTGTATAGTATGACATACATATTACCTCTCTACTGTATATAGCATGACATACATATTACCTCTCTATTGTGTATAGTATGACATACATATTTCCTTATTGTATATAGTATGGCATATATATAATACCTCTCCATTGTGTATAGTATGACATACATATTACCTCTCTACTGTATATAGCATGACATACATATTACCTCTCTATTGTGTATAGTATGACATACATATTTCCTCTCTATTGTATATAGTATGGCATATATATAATACCTCTCCATTGTATATAGTATGACATACATATCACCTCTCTACTGTATATAGCATGACATACATATTACCTCTCTATTGTGTATAGTATGACATACATATTACCTCTCTATTGTGTATAGTATGACATACATATTACCTCTCTATTGTGTATAGTATGACATACATATTACCTCTCTATTGTGTATAGTATGACATATATATTTCCTCTCTATTGTATATAGTATGACATACATATTACCTCTCTATTGTGTATAGTATGACATACATATTACCTCTCTATTGTGTATAGTATGACATATATATTTCCTCTCTATTGTATATAGTATGACATACATATTAGGCTAAGCTTAAAAAATTCTTTGTTTCCAGTTGCCGACCTATAATTTTTTAAAGTGAATTGGTAGGTAGATGGTTTTTTTTTTTTTTTTTGAAAAAAATAATAAATTTTAGTTTTCAAGTTTTTGTTGCATAACAAATCATAGAGATTTTCATAGAGTTACTAAATGTAAATAAGCTCCAATTATTAAAATTAAGCCACTTTAAATTGATAAAAACAAAATTCAAAATCAGAAAATGAAACAGTTTCATACCCTTGAAACTTGTTACTTCCAAAAAAAATCTCAAAAAATTGCTGAAAAAAGTTAGGGTTGGGTGCATTTTAAGTGGGTCGGTAGGCAACTGCAAACAAATAATTTTTTTATTTTAGGCCTTCCCTCTCTGCTGTATATAGTATGACAAATATTACCTCTCTACAGTACATGTACTTTGATCTATATATTACCTCTCTATTTTTTACATGGATTAATTTACGCTAATCTATGTGGTAACAATTTTTCCATGGAAATTTGTCTTGACATACTTAAAGTTCAAATAAGACATACATTGGCAATCCAAAAAAATCCTCCTAATTTTCTACCAGTGGATTAACGGTAAACAGAAATTGTGATTCCACCATGGAATTATGACCACGTGGAAACAAATATGTTTACAGTATTTTACCCATATATCACCTCTCTTATAGGTTGTAGTAAATTTTATGTTCTTAACAATTACCCTTTCAAACAACAGGAAGAAGTCTCCACAAATGCATTTTGTTTAATTCATTTTATTGCCACATGGCATACTTGAAATAATAGTATGAATATAACCTATTACAGATTCTCTGCTAGATCTAGCTCCACACTGATTTAAGACAACTAAGACTTTACATATGATTTTTCTTGTTGGAATCAAGTAAATAAGAAAGTGTTCATTTGGCCAGGGCAAACTTCAATTGTTAAAAGCAACAGTACACAAAATAATTTCTTATATCTGCCTGTTCTTAATTAATTTTCAGACTAGACAGAATTAGGACAATAGGACAATATAAATACTCAAGAATTTATATACAAGTACACAGCTTAGTACACACCTGATACATGAACCTTGTTTAGTAAAAGAAGATTGCTTTGCTGGATTGCGAAAGAGACGATGAGATACACAAGAAATATTTTTGGAGCCATGATTGAGCTTAACAACTTTTACTATACAAGGTGCATGGAAAAAAATTGAGACCCATGTTTGACTTAAATGGAAATCACAGAAGAATGCACAAGATCTAGAATAAACTGGCCTACGGAATGATTACCACATAACTTACAACAAAGTTCTAACACCTCTACCACATCCAGACCTTATACAATGTCAATGAGTAGCTTCACATGGGCTTTATATGTACAGGATTTATATAGATTTATTTGATCGTCCCCTCTCTTACACTCACGTATAATATCTAACCAGCATTTTAGACTCTTTGTACACATTTAGTCATGGTGGAAATGAATTAACTGTCATTTCTGGTAGCCAAAATTAAAGCTACGATAAATCCATATAATCCCAATACTTCAGCAAAAATAAGAATCAGAATCATTCCCACGAAGAGTCGAGGCTGCTGTGCCGTCCCTCTTACCCCAGCATCTCCCACAATTCCAATGGCAAATCCGGCAGCCAGACCACTAAGGCCTACACTGAGTCCAGCTCCCAAGTGTGTGAAAC